TGTACATTTTTAAAGAAAAATGAAAACTTTAATATTTAAATGCAGATTAAGTGCTGTCTCCAGATTAACCTTTAGACAGTATGACTGTAGATAGATTGGTCTTGGGTTCAAATAGAAAACAGCATGTAGCCCATTCTTCATTATTTCCTTAATTCACTGAACCTTCTGGATTGCTGTGGCTTTCAGGCTATTTTTATGTTGCTAGCCACTTGCATGGCAACTTCCTTTAGGTGATGATTACCTGGTGACCTTTTTTCACCCAAATTTTATTTTAGATTCAAGGGGTACGTGTGCAGGTTTATTACCTGGGTATATTGCATGATGCTGAGGTTTGGGGTACAAATAGTCCTGTCACCTAGGTACCTAGAATAGTTGCCAGCAGTTTTTCACCCATTGCTCCCCTCCTTCCCTTCCTCTAGTAGTCCACACATAAACTATATATATGTTCTTATCATTTAGAATTTTTAAAATATTTGTCTGTTGTTGCCTTTTTTTTTTTTTTTTGAGATGGAGTTTCACTCTTTTTACCCAGGCTGGAGTGCAATGGTGCGATCTCAGCTCACCACAACCTCCGCCTCCTGGATTCAGGCAATTCTCCTGCCTCAGCCTCCTGAGTAGCTGGGACTACAGGCATGTGCCACCATGCCCAGCTAATTTTTTATATTTTTAGTAGAGACGGGGTTTCACCATGTTGACCAGGATGGTCTCGATCTCTTGACCTCGTGATCCACCCGCCTCGGCCTCCCAAAGTGTTGGGATTACAGGCTTGAGCCACCGCACCCGGCCCTGTTGTTGCCTTTTTTATGCCCATAAGTACCCGATGTTTAGCTCCCACTTATAGATGAGCACATTCAGTATTTGCTTTGCTGTTCATGTGTTAATTTGCTTAGGATAATGGCTTCCAGCTGCATCCATGTTACTCTAAAGGATATGATTTTGTTCTTTTTTATGGCTGTATAATATTCCATGGTATATATGTTCCGCATTTTATCCAGTCCACTGTTGATGGGCACCTGATTTCATGACTTTGCTATTATGAATAGTGCTGTGATAACCATGTGGCTGCATGTTTTTTTTTTTTTTTGGTAGAATGATTTGTTTTCTTTTGGATATATATACCTAGTGATGGGATTGCTGAGTCAAATGTCAGCAGATGAATGGGTAAATAATATGTGGTAACCTCTTAAGCCATAAAAAAGAATGAAAGACTGATAGATGCCACAACATGGGTGAACCTTGGAAACAAGGTGAATGAGAGAAGCCTGACATAAAAGGCCACATATTGTATGATCCCTTTTGTATGAAATACTTAGGATAAGCAAGACCATAGAGACCTTAGATTAGTGGTTATCAAGGGCGGGGGAGAAGGCAAATGAGTGACAGCTAATGGGCACAGAGTTTCTTTTGAGGTAATGAAATGTTCTGAAATTAGTGGTGATAGTTGCACAACTTGGTAAATGTACTAAAAACCACCAAATCATACATTTTAGAAGGGTGAATTTTATGATTGTAATTATATCTTAATAAAGCTATTATTTAAAAAAAAAAAAGAATGAGAATGGCCCTCAAACCAAAAAAGTTGACACCTATTTTTAAAAAGAAAAGTGCTTCCGATTAAACTATATGTATGTTCTTATTTAGAATTTTAAAAATATTTGTTGTATGAACTCTTTTAGACTTCTCTAGACATAAATTATCTTCCTTGTGCATAAATAAAAATATAAGCAAAAATAAATTTAAGCATTTCCTAAAAATACTTAAAGCAAATGCTTAAGACTTTGAAAATAAAGTTTAAGATTCATAACATAATGAAGTGAAGCTTCACTGGACACTTTGAATACTTAAAATGTAAAACTATATTATTGATTGTTTTAGGGATCTCCATCAACCAAGCGACGGGGTCAGATGTTACAGCCAATCATAGAAGGAGAAACTGCACACTTTTTTGAAGAAATCAAGGTAATCCTTTAAAGAAATAATTATCTGATCCCTTCCCTAAAGAAAAAGTTCAAAGTCAAGGCATGTTTGATTCTCTGTTTGGATATCTTTTTAGGAAGAAGAAGAAGATGGTGTTAATCTGTCCTCTGAGTTAAGTGATATCTTGAAAACTGCAGTACAGATACAGTCTTCATTGGAAAACTCTGAATCTGATATTGATGAAAATCAAGAAAAACTGGCTCTGGATCTCCGATTGTCAAGTTCTCGAGCAGCTTCTATGTATGTATGCTGATTTGTGATTATAGCCTATTTTTATAATAAAATGTATATATGCCAAGAAATTTAATGTTAAATAATTGAGCATTTAGGAATTAGGTAAATAAAGAATTTATCAAAGGACACATGCTTTTTAAGTGTGATGTATTGTCATTCTCATTTTAATTTACTTTTTGAGATGGAGTTTTGCTCTTGTTGCCCAGGCTAGAGTGCAGTGGTACGATCTCAGCTCACCGCAACTTCCACCTCCCAGGTTTGAGTGATTTTCCTGCCTCAGCCTCCTAAGCAGCTGTGATTATAGGCGTGCACCACCATGCCTGGTTAATTTTGTATTTTTAGTAGAGATGGGGTTTCTCCATGTTGGCAGGCTGGTCTAGAACTCCTGACATCAGGTGATCTGCCCGCCTCTGCTTCCCAAAGTGCTGGGATTACAGGCATGAGCCACTGCGCTTGGCATCATTCTTATTTTTAAATAAATCATTGCCGTGTTTCAAAATTAAAAAAAAAAAAAAAATCTAGCCAGGCACAGTGGCTCATGCCTATAATCCCAGCACCTTTTGAAGTTGAGGCAGGAGGATCCCTTGAGGCCAGGAGTTTAAAACCAGCCTGGCCAACATAGTGAGATCCAGATGCTATAAAAATGTTTTTTAAATTAGCCAGGGGTGGTGGTGTGCACCTGTAGTCCCAGATACTTGGGAGGCTTAGGCAAGAGGATTGCTTGAGGCCACCTTATTGAACCACTGTTCCAGTCTGGGTGACAGAATGAGACTGTCTGTAAAAAAGCAAACAAACAAATAAAATCTGCAGTTGATTTATAACAAAGTACAGGAAGTAGTTGAGAGTTGATCTCTTTGTTCTATATCCACTTGTTTACCTTTGGACTGTATGGTGTATGTCACTGGTTCTGAGCCCCGACTTCACTTTACAGTCACCTGCCAAGATTTTAAAGTACTGATGCTTGAGTCCTTCAGCTATTCTGTCATAACTGGTTTGCTGTAGAATTTAGGCATTTGTAGACCTAAGAGTTCCTCAGCTGATTTAAATTTGCAGCCAGCACTAGAACCTCTGTTAAGAATATAATGAGGCCAGGCGCGGTGGCTCACGCCTATAATCCCAGCACTTTGGGAGGCCGAGGTGGGTGGATCACGAGGTCAAGAGATCGAGTCCATCCTGGTCAACAGGGTAAAACCCTGTCTCTACTAAAATTACAACAAATTAGCTGGGCATGGTGGTGTGTGCCTGTAGTCCCAGCTACTCAGGAGGCTGAGGCAGGAGAATTACTTGAACCCAGAAGGCAGAGGTTGCGGTGAGCCGAGATCGTGCCATTGCACTCCAGTCTGGGTAACAAAAGCGAAACTCCATCTCAAAAAAAAAAAAAAAAAAAAAAAAAATATAATGAATCAAGTGTGCCCTTCAGTATTTTCTTACCATTTCAATTCTAGGCCTGAATTACTGGAACAACTTTGGAAAGCCAGAGCTGAAAAAAAGAAACTACGCAAAACGTTGCGGGAATTTGAAGAAGCATTTTATCAACAAAATGGAAGGTTTGTTGAGCATCACAAAATTGAGTCATCTATCTTCTTTAACTCACAAGTTGACCATATATTGAAATAGTGAAATATATGGGATTAGAAAGAAATTGTGCAGATAAGATGCTGGCATTGAAAAGTTTTAAAAAATTCTTTATGTTCTGAGGCCCTTCTTTTAATGGCCAGGAATAGTCACAGCTAGTGTAAACAACATTTGATCAACTATTTTCAGATTGTCCTAGGGAGGCTTGGTTGTGTTGCAGTGATTTTATATTCTTTAATTCTACATCCTTACCTTTTTGGGAGTAGTTGTGAACTGAAATATTTCTTATTTTAGAAAGGATCTCATAACAGGAGTGGTATCCTCGACTAGTTTGGATTTTTTATTTTTTACTAAGACCACTGTGCTCATACTGTGTGTTGAGGCTGCCCATTTTCAAGGTGTGTAACAGTGTGCCGGGCATGTGGCTCCTATAATACACTATGGCACATGCCTTTATCTAACTAGGTAATGCACAGTTGACTTGGAGGGGCTGTTTTAAAACTAAGAAAAATACATTCTAGTTCCGATGGTGGCCAGAAGTTTGGGTACAGTTATCTCAGGCCTGAGAAACATTTTTCTAAGTAGCTGGGTCATCTTACCAAGGTGATAGCTAATATTACAAATTTCAAAATATGTGTACTTTAATTCCCTTTGCTTTGTGAGTCTCCTGTATAGGTTGGCACATACGGTTAAAAAAATCTGAAGTGCAGGAATGCATTTTTCTCGATTGTCTTCTATTTCATTGTATTATTGGAAGAAAACTTTGCTTATAATTAGGATAGTTTGATGCTTTAGCTAGTGATGCTTTAGCTATTGAATTGCATTGGGTCATTACTGTAAAGTTAGAAAATTACTCTGTTGCTGCAGGTAAGATAGTGTACTTTTACATCTCAATTCCCTGGAGCCACAGTTAACTAAATGTCAGCGTAGCCTCCAACACTTAGTAGACACTGACCTGACAGTCTAGCACTGGATGTCCTATTAAAATATTGGGTTTCCTCCAGTTATCTATATTGATTATTGATAAGTATAGCATCATTTAATCTATCAGTAGAGAAATCTATCAAAAATTTTAGAAATGTTCCTTGGGGATGAGGGTATTAGTTCAATAATCTTTTTTTTTTTTTTTACAGAGCAACTTTTTATTTGAGCTTATATTTAGTAACAGTATGTCTCATATTAGGACAACTTCTGGGTCTTTTTTTTCCAGATGATCTCTAGAACATTATAGATTTTATTTTCTCCTATAGGAATGCCCAGAAAGAGGATCGTGTTCCAGTGCTGGAGGAATACAGGGAGTACAAGAAAATTAAAGCCAAGCTTAGGCTTCTTGAAGTTCTTATAAGCAAACAAGATTCTTCAAAATCCATATAAAATATGTTCCTTGCAAATTCATATCATAAAGTCAGTTGTATTCCTTGAAGCTTATCATCGTGTGTACTTGGCTGGTACTTAAATTCATTTTGTCAGGCACTCAGAGAATCTCATTTTGTACTTGTGGTGCCACTAAACAAAACATATGATAGGAGGGTAAGTAAGCCCTCTCAAGGGAGCATAAGTGATGTTCCATATTAACCACAGACTGTCCTCTCCAACTTAACAAACATGCAGTTTCCTTCATTGTTTTCTACTACAGATACATCCTTTTAGCAAAAGACTAGAATTTTATCCTTTCAACTTCAAGAACTTTGGAAATACAAGGTTTTTGTTATTACCAACTTTTTGTTTCTCATTACTGAAGAAAATTGGAGGAAAATCTTCACACTGAATTCATCTGTTGCCTTTTTCTTACACAATGACTGAAAATTTGAAAGAAACGCTTATAAAAGTGCACATATGCAACTGTGTTCTCTGTTTTCCTAGAAAACCAAAATCTAACTGAGATTTCAAGTCCTACTGTGGAATACCTTTCTATTAATTCCCAAAGTGACACCTTCTCACAGGTAGTATGTTAGCAAAATTTTGCAATTGAGTGGTCACACAGCTCCTGGATGAAGATAACAGTTGGTAGACCAAAAAGTGACCTTGCTTAGTACATTGAAAACACACACCACACATCACACACAAAACTGAATCATACCACATGCTGCCTATGGGACTTCAGTTACTGTTTCCTGAGTTACTGTTTATCTGCTGGCGATGGTGTGATTTGTCTGGATCAGATCCGCTCTGTTCCCTCTACCCACCTTCAGATAATGTGAGAAAATAGCCATGTCAGTATGTAGGAACTCTGATGGTGCTCAGATTTGTGTGTTCAATCACTGGGCCTAAATCAGCAAAATAATAATTATGCCTAAAGTAATTATCTGTTCTTAACAAGGGCTATACCACTGCATTTTCACATGTATCTTCATGAGGTTATCTTTATCTTTTCCCACCTCCACTTTTAATCAACAAAATACATAACAACAACAATACCCCTGTCAGGGACCACCCTTTGCTCAATCATCACATGCTGTTTAAAGCAGCTGTTTACAGGATATGTAGTGGTATGACCCTTGTCATATAGATCTTAGCATATCTTTTTTTCCTTTGGCTTTGCATGGCTTTTCTTTAGGTACTCTCTCAGTATCATTCTGGTAATTATTGTTACGGAATGGTGATTTTGTTAACTACAACAGCAGATTTGAGTCAGGCTTAATCTAAGTGTTAACTTTCTTTTTCTGGTGCTTTTTTCGATCAATGATTGTCTCACTTTGACTATACACATGTTTTGCATGCAATAACTCATGCATGGTTTTCTTAACTAGCTAATATTAACAATTTGTTCCATATAAAAATGAAATTTTGCAACATCCTTTAATAAGGTGAGGGAAGCATGAACCTCAGACTTCTGGCACTATTACATAGTAAGCACATGAAGTAGCTTAATAATAAATAGCAGTTCTAGTACTTCACATTTCACCTGTGTGTGCAATGCCTTTTTTTTGGTGGGGGGGTTGGGAAAACTTAGTAGTGAATGTATAGTTGGGGAATAAAGAAAAGCACTAAATCTTGCCCTTTTTGTGTGGTTTCCTTTTGATACAACTAGGTTATTTATAATGTATACCTAGAAAAGTGAAATTGAAAATGCCAAAAGATGTATCCTTTTTATTTGAATCCGTCATGCAGTGTACATTTCAGATAATTTCCTTCAGTCTCCAGATAGGAGTGTATCCAAACATCTAATTTTATGTGCACTGTGTATTTTATATGAATATCTTATTTTATATACCACATGCAAAAATGTCCATATGCACTATTTAAATGTTTTAAATAATATATTCCTTCTTTATAATGCTAAATCTATATGAGTACCATATTTTTATAAGTCAGTGGCCTGACTGGTTTCATTTTAGGATTAACAGCTGCTTCATGATGTTATTCATTGTTAATGTTTGGCTGTGAGTAGAATATCTAAAAGTGGCATGGCGGCACTTACGCTCTGTGACAGTATTGTGTGTCATAGTTGAGCAGTAGGTGATAGAATTAGGCAGTTGGTGATAGTTTTACTTTGGTACAAATAAAAACTGTATATCTATATACAAATAATATATAGATATATATGTCTACCAGTATAATTGCATTGCTGTCTGGCACTTCATTGTACAGACTTTTGTAATAAAAGAACTTGAAAGTTCTAAGTCTTTGAAATGTATGTTTGTTTTTCCACTGGGTGTTTAAAAAAAAAAAAAAAAAAAGACCTTAAGTGTTCCTTCACCTTAGGCTTTCACCCAGGGGCCAATGTTAGAGAACAACGGGGTCATTAAACTATTTGACTGGCTACAACTCTGGGAAATGGTAGGGCAGAGAAAGGCCATGTTGTTCTTTCCCTTGTGCAAATCTAGGGGGAGCCACAGAAAGAACAGTTAGCATTTCTTGTTGCAGTGAATTTTCCTATTAAGAACTCTTAATGTATGGTTGCTTAAGAGAAGAGCTTGGCCTGAGGAAGGTGAGTAGTAATCTAAAAATGTCTTTGTATTTAAGTTTTAAAATTCAGGGACTGTTGAGCACCAGTGTGGAAGTTGAATGCTAACTAAGGTCAAATGATGTTGCTTGGGCTAAGAGAACATTTGGCTACTGTAGAGGGGCTTACATAGCCTAGAAAAATTAGAAGAGTTTCTCTCTAATTTCCAACATGACAGCCACACACAATTTTCCAGTCTTCCGAATAAGGCTGTTACCGGATCCTCATTTACACTTTCCAAACATAACTTCTTTTGACACTGATATGCCTACCCTGCTCTGTATTTTATTTTTGGGAAACCTTAAATGCATTACACCTTAGAAATGGTCTAGGTAAAATTCCAGTTTGAGGATGTTAGTGAAATTTCTGTGGGTGGCTGGGGAGTTTGTTCTACACTTTGGCTTTTTTCTGGAAGACAAATTCTAAAGAATGGAGGGAGATTACTTGAGTCTTAAATAATAGTTTTTTAGAATCTTACGCCTTTATTTATCTGTGGCCAAAGGAATTCAGAACATGGTACATGATGCACTTGATAGCACCAGTAGTTCTTCTACTTTGTAACTATGAGAAAACAGTCTTTACCTACTTACTGAGCTATTACAGATCTGCCCTGTGAACTAGAAGCATTTTTTTTTTACTCATCCTTCACTTTTCTAGAATTTGATAACCTCATTATAAAATCCTTTGTGTGTACCAGTGTGTGTATACTGGAGGCTTGTCATAATATGCATGGATTGTACAGTGAGTCCCTGTCAGAGACACTTAATTCTGACCCTGAGGATAGTTTGATGATAGGTTGTTCAGTACCTTTAAGGAGTGCCTGAAAAAGACTACAAGTTTATGAAGTAATCCATGAATAAGTCTTTGTTAGAAATGCTTAGTGATTGCATGACAGATTCTTACCTCCACTTGTCTCAGTATTATAGAGCTGAAAGCTTTCTCATCACTTGATTTAGTTTCAAATTGATATAGTGTAATTCCTTCTCCAGCTCCACAGCATATAAAAAAAGCCTAGAAAATTTAGAAGGAAGTAGAGAAATGAGTTAGTAATATACTTTCATGTATAGACAGCAAGTTACGAGTGCGAAATGCTTTGAGTGGGAAGAGCACTGTAAGCTCCTAAAACGTGCCTCTTTTGATCTAATATTCTAAAGCTGTGTGGAGAAACTATCTGCTGTGCAAATCAAATATAAATGGCAGCTTCTGTTACTTAGAGATACAGGGATTTAATCAAAAGTTTCTTAACCTTTTAAGCAAATGGAGTTGTATGAAACTTTGAAATTGGATAGAGATTAAAGGCATCCCAATAGAATTAGGTTTTGGATTTAGGAAAAAAATGTCCTTAATGCCCATGTCATGATATCCCATAGTATTCTGGTTAGAACATAAGCTTACTCTTGAAATTCTTGTTGAGTGACAGGCTGGTAGTCATCTTGAATTTCCTCAGAATAATACTTTTTCTCAAGCCTCTCTTTCCATTTTTTCATCTGTTCTGCCTTTTGAATCTCCTATCAGGGTAGAGGACAGGTGAAGGCTGCATTCTTTAGTTCTCTTTCAAGTCTTTAACATACAAGCATCACAGGATTGAGGATCTTAAACTGTTGTCTCCGGCCCTCAGATTTTGAGCCTCACTGGCTTTTTGCCCTGCCTGGATTTTATATCTGTGCATCAGCAACATCACTTCAGAGGACTCGATGGGTGTAATTGCTGTCTAACATAGTTAGGGAAGCTTTGTAAACAAATTATAAATTACTCTCATTTCAATGCCTTTTCCCTTTAGCGTCTCCATCTGAATTATTTTCTTTCATTTGATCGAAGCTAAGATGTTCTTGCCATACCTCTGTTTCTTAGCTAATGTAATTAGATTCAAAGTGTATCTGTGGGTAGTTTTGGCCTTTCCAGCAACTTCTCAGCCAGATGATTTCAAAACCCCCTCTTTGTAATTACTGCATTGATTAGTCAGTGTGTGTACTCCAATCTGTCTATGTATCCAAAAACAAGCCCCTTGTATGACAAAATTTGTGTTGCTGAACCTTCCTGTGCACTGTTCTCACTATCACCCACTTTCCTTAGAGTATCCACATACCCTTTTCCCAGCTTCAGATAAAAAGGGCCTGTGTGTCGTGGAAAATAACCATAGCACCAGAAAAAGGTAAAGAGGAGACAGTGCACCCAGATACTATTAAACAACTTCTCAGTAAATTGGTATGTTACTTCACTGCTCCAGCAATAATGCTAGGTAGCAAAGTGGTGGGTCCCTTTATAAGGGTTCTGGGCCAGGTATGGTGGCTCACACCTGTAATGCCAGCACTTTGGAAGGCCAAGGGGGTGGATCATGAGGTCAGGAGTTTGAGACCATCCTGGCCAACATGGTAAAATCCCATCTCTACTGAAAATACAAAAATTAGCTGAGCGTGGCAGCAGGTGCCTATAATCCCAGCTACCTGGGAGGCTGAGGCAGGAGAATTGCTTGAACCCAGGAGGTGGAGGTTGCAGTGAGCCGAGATTGTACCACTGCATTCCAGCATGGGTGACAGAGCAGGACTCTGTCTCAAATAAAAGTTCTGATTACCTTCATCAGACAGGATGGTGATGCCTAGTTTCATACACTGTTTACTTGTTAAATGTGTACTCTTCTGGTCAGAGAATCTCTTAGTGCCTTTCTGTAATCCAACTTTTTTTTTTTTGAGACAGTCTCACTCTCTTGCCCAGGCTGCAGTGCAGTGGTGCAATCTCAGCTCACTGCAACCTCCATCGCCCAGGCTGGAGTGCAATGGGGCAATCTCGTCTTTTTTTGTTTTTTTTTTGAGACAGAGTTTCACTCGTTACCCAGGCTGGAATGCAATGGTGCGATCTCGGCTCACCGCAACCTCCGCCTCCTGGGTTCAGGCAATTCTCCTGCCTCAGCCTCCTGAGTAGCTGGGATTACAGGCACATGCCACCATGCCCAGCTAAATTTTTGTATTTTTAGTAGAGATGGGGTTTCACCATGTTGACCAGGATGGTCTCGATCTCTTAGCCTCGTGATCCACCCACCTCGGCCTCCCAAAGTGCTGGGATTACAGGCTTGAGCCACTGCGCCCGGCCGAAATCTCGTCTTATTGCAACCTGTCACCGAGTCTGGAGTGCAGTAGCACAATGTTAGCATTCAGTGTGGAAGTTGAATGCTAAGAACCCCTACTGGGTTCAAGTGATTCTCTTGCCTCAGCCTTCCGAGTAGGTGGGATTACAGGCATGCACCCCATCTGGCTAATTTTCGTATTTTTAGTAGAGAGGGGTTTTTGCTATGTTGGCCAGGCTGGTCTCAAATTCCCAGCCTCAAGTGATCTCCCTGCCTTGGCCTCCCAAAGTGCTGGGATTACAGGCATGAGCCACTGCACCCAGCTTTAAATGAGCCTATTTGAAGCAGGAAAGGATGACTTTGAATCCTAGTTTTATTGTGGACACATTATAGCACCCATGGTTTGGTATATGTAGGTAGTCCCTGTAACCACTTCTGAATGACCAGGCCAATTATAAAGTAGATGCATTAGTAACAAATGTGGAATAGACTATGCATAGTAAACTTAGCCATCACTCCTCTTGTGAAGCCTTTCTTGACATTCAGAGGGAAGTGATACCTTTTCTCATAAGCCAGGTATCAACTCTTTGGGGGCCCTTGCTCCAAGCTTTTAGGTTCTGTAGGTAAGGTCACCTTACCTCCTTTTATGGGAGCTGCCTCTTGCAGTTAGTTGTCTCTGCATGATTTTCATGTTCACATTGGCCCTTATATTCCTCTAATACCTCAAAAACAAATTCTCTATACTAAACTCCCTCTTTTTGAGCTACCTAAATGTGATTTCTGTTTTTCTGACAACTCTTACTGATGAATACTTGGTAGCAGGGGAGGCCCAAAGAAACAGACCCTCATAGATAGTATGCTTCTACCAAGGGGCACAACAATTGACTTAAACTGAATTTGAGACTGCCACCTGACTATTTGGGATTCCTCATGTTTACAGAACCAGCAGGGAAAGAAGTGGTTACTTAATGTGTTGAGGTGATCGATCCAAATTACCAAGGGGAAATTGAGTTACTGCTACAAACTAGCAAAGAGTAGACTGTGCCCAAGGGATTTTCTGGGGTGTCTCTTAATAACTTCCATGTCCAAAATTAAAAGATAATGGGAAATCACAGCATTCCATTAAAGGCAGGACCACTGAGAGTTCAGATTCAGAACTAATTAAATTTAATCCTAATGCAGCCAGCTGAGCTCTTGAGTATAGGCAAAGGGAATGATATGGAATGGGTAGGAGAAGCAAGTTACAAATATCAGCTGTACCCTTGTCATCAGTTACAGAAACAAACACTATAGCCCCCAATCATATTCCCTTCTTTGCTTTTTATGTATATATTTTCTTTCTCCTTTTAAGGAATATTGGGGGTGGCTAACTGTAGTTTAAACAATAGGTTGCAAAATATTCTTAAGGTATTGTGATTCAACTAGAAGAGGTCTTAATATCATCCACAGATGGATACAATTATTGTTGGGACTTTGCTTCCTTTTTAGGGTGAGGGTAAAAGTACCTTCATTTGTATAAAGGATAGTTCCATCTCACTGGATAGAAGCATGGAATCGTCATTTTATGGAAGTATAAATGTGTATGCTAGAAGAGTAGAATGGACCAACTGTTCAACTCAAAATTTATGCTTTTACACTCTGTGATGTTGGGTTTTAGGCTTTGTAAACTTTATTCCCTAAACTCTTACTAGCTGGATTTCTGTTAGATTCTGCCAGTATTTGCAGGATAGAGGGGAAAAGAGTAATCTTGTTTTTGTTTTTGTTTACTGTTTCCACTGGCATTGCTTAGGCAATGGTAGTTATCTTCAGCAGCAGTGGCTCCAGGCTGTAGCATCTAGCTGCTTTTGGCATACTCAGAAGCAGCCTCATCACAACCACTTAGAAGTACAGATTGAGTATCCCTAATTGGAAATCTGAAGTGTTCAAATTCCAGGACTTCAGCACCTCCATGACTCGATTTCAGATTTTTGAATTAGGAATGCTGAGCCAGTAAGTATATAATGCAGATATTTCAAACTCAAAAATAAAATTAAAAAAAAAACTGAACTCTAAAACACTTCTGGGTTCCAAGCATTTTGGATAAGGAATACTCAACTTGTATCAGCAGGGGGCTGCCTTCTCATCATAGGACTGAGCAACAGCTCCACAAGCCCCTTCTCTAAGATCGTAGTTTCTAGTAACACCACCTTTTGTGATCTTAGCCCTAGGAGTGGTAACCTCTTCCTGCAGTCATTATGAATTGCCTCAGTGTTGTCATTTCACTTTTTTCTGTCTTTAATACCTGTATAGTAACCAGTTCCCTGTTGGGCATTTTCTCTATTTGAAATACATATTGTCCTTTCTTTCTTCCTGAGTGGGCTCTGATTGATAGATGTAGTACATCTTCTCATTTGGTCAGGTGTATTTTTTGGGGATTTTTGTTTTTGTTTTTTGAGACAGAGTTGCGCTCTGGGTTCCAAGCATTTTGGATAAGGAATACTCAATAGTTGCAATGGCGCTATTTTGGCTCACTGCAACCTCTACCCCTCAGGTTCAAGCAATTCTCCTGCCTCAGCTTGCCAAGTAGCTGGGATTACAGGTGCATGCCACCATTCCGCCTAATTTTGTATTTTAGTAGAGATGGGGGTTTCACCATGTTCACCAGGCTGGTCTTGAACTCCTGACCTCACTGGCTTTGGTCTCCCAATGTGTTGGGATTACAGGTGTGAGCCACCATGCCCAGCAGTATTTTGTGTCTTTAAGGAATGTTTAAAAGTTTTTCCTTATCTTGGTTTTGAACATTTTGGTAATTGCTGGGCATTTTCTACTTTATTGCTGTTACAAATAAGGTCTTTTATTATAATTTTAACAAAACAATTGATGTTTGCATGTATGACATTAAATTTTTATTAGAAAAAAGTTTTATTGAGAACTTAAAAGAAGACATTGATAGAAAATGAAAATAAATTATGAACCCTTTCAAAACCTTTCAATTCAGTATTCTAGTTCTTCATTTCCTTGATACAACTCTGTACCATGGTCACAAGTTTTCCCTCTCATGAATAGGAGGATATAAATTATTTTTCCTACCATTTTACCTAATTATTTTTATTGTAATTTTTCAGATCATCATATACCTAGAAAATTGAAGAGAATCATAAGTAAAGGCAGTTTTACTTTTTAAATTTTTTAAATTAGAAAACCTCTAATGTAGTTCTCTTATCTAATTGTTTTGACTTGCCCCTCCAATACATCCCTATCTTCTTCCTGACATATTCAATGTTTTCCTATTAAGTAAGGTAATAGGGGATAAGATCAATGTTTTTATCATTATCAAGGAAGTATTGATTTCTGTTTATTTTTCCTCTCAAGTTTGGGTATTGAAACTTACAAATACCCAGCATTTGTGTAAAATGATCATGCAGTTTTCCTTTTTTTAATACAATGAATTATGTTAATTAGTTGATT